GTGAGATCATATGATACTTGTCTTTCTCTGATTGACTTATTTCGCTTAGCATAATACCCTCTAGTTCCATCCATGTCATTGCAAATGGCAAGATTCCATTTTTTTGATGGCTGCATAATATTCCTGTGTGTGTGTGTGTGTGTGTGTGTGTGTGTGCGCGCGCGCATGCGTGTGCGTGCGCGTGTAACATCTTCTTTGGAAGGTTGGTATTATTAATTGTGATAGAGCATCAGGTTAGTGTGGAAAATTAGGAATTTCATTCTGAACATATTAGGTTTGCAATGCTTTTGAGAAATATAAGGGAAGGTGTTGAGCAAGCAGTTGGCTGTCCAAAGTCACTCAGAGAACAGGTATAGTTAGATATAAGTGGAGTCAAGAGCACACACGTGGTCATTGAGGCCCTGGGCATGGATAATCTGTGGAGGGGCAGAATACAGAATGAGAAGAGGGGAGGAACTTTGAGGCTTTAGGAGCATCAACAATTACTGGCTGGTATAGGATGATGAAGTGGCAAAGGAGTCTGATAAAGAATGGCTAGAGGAAGGAAACCCAGGAGTATGTTTGGGGTGGGGGAGGGTGAGGGGCAGGGGGTTTCTCAAAAGATAAGGAGAGAGATTTCCTAAAGGCATGAATAGCCAGTGATGTCTTTTGAAAGGTCAAGCAATCATAGGGACTGAAATGTCAACAAGAATTTATCAGCAAGGTCATCTGTGACCTTGAGGAGAGCTGTTTCTATGAATTAATGGTGGTGGGAACCAGAAAATAAAGATGGCAAGTATCATCAACTTTTCTGAAAACTTTGATTGCAGTGGAGAGATAAGGTGCCAGTCGAATGGATTTGTGTGATTAGGCTATGAACTGTTTTTTTTGTTTTTTTTTTTTAAGTAGGCTCAGTGCCCAGCAGGGAGCCCAAGGCAGGGCTTGAACTCAGGACCATGAGATCAAGAGTCAGATGCTTCACCAACTGAGCTACCCAGGCGCCCCTAGGCTATTCATTTTTTTTCAGAGAGAGAGAGCGAGAGAGCAATTGCACATGGCAGGGTGGGGGAAGGGGGAGAGGGAAAGAGAGAATCTTAAGCAGGCTCCTCACTCAGTGCAGAGCCTACGCGAGGCTCGATCTCACAACTCTGAGATCATGACCCCAGCCAAAATTAAGAGTCCAACACTTAACCAACTGAGCCACCCAGGCCCCCCTAGGCTATTAATTTTTAAGAAGCTTATTTTTTAAGATGAAAGGGGTTTGAACATGGAAAGGAGGGGAAACCAGTGAAGCAGGGATTTGATCACAGAGGTAGGAGGAGAGACAGATGACAGTAACAAGGAACAGCAATTATAAAAGTTAAATCTTGATTCAGTCTTAATTAAAATGAAAAGAAATAGGTTCTGGGGCATTTGATAAGAAGATTTCAAAAGATATAACCTTGTTGACATAGGTTGGTCATTCAAAATACTATGCTGGTTGTTTCCCTTATCAGCAAGAAAAGGAAGAGAAGGTCGGAGAATATTTCCATTCCAATGACCAAGGAACTGCCTTAGAAACCATCTAGAAAAGGTTTTATTTAAGTTTCAAACTTTACATGCTATGTCTTGTTACCATAAATCACAGCTTCTCTCTTTAATCTTGTTTCATTAAAAAAAAAAAAAGGCAAGAGGCTTTCAAAGACATTTAACTCTTACCTCCAAAATTCTGTTTGATCACCCATATCTTAACCTCTCGTCATAAGACTAACGTATATCATACATAAAAGGATACCTGTTTTAAGAAATTGCTTTTTTTTTTTAGGCTATAATATATGGTTATTTTAGAAAATTAGATTTTCTCATTTACTCTCTAGTTGAGCTCACCAGCCTTCTGTTAATTGTACACAGAATTACACGTAGGTGTAGTTATAGGTGTAGAAACAAAAGAGATAGAGACATAAACACGGTCCTATGTAGTCATAGGTATAGGTATACGTTTACGTATAAATACACATAAAGCTATGATAGCATATGGCTTCCTCTGCTGGTAAAAGAGCTTGAGACCCTTTGTAAGGCCGCTTACATCATGCCGCTAATAGATTTTAATCCAAACACGATGCCAACACAAGTTTTCAATCCAAACACAACTAAGTTTGATTTTTCCATATTCTGTAAGAAAGGAGCAGCTGAGGGATGGTGTGATCCATGGTGTCAAAGGCCATGGAGAGGTCAAGGGGGAAGAAAGTTGAAGAAAAGGACCCACTCTGACAATGGCTGGGAAGTCTGGTGGTCTTTTCAAATGTGTTGTACAGACGGGTGTGTGAGAGAAAATGAAATCTCTGGAAAAGATCAGGTGATGGGAAAAATGAAGGTTCACAAAATGAAGAACAGGAAGAAGAGCGAGAGTCTCAGTATTAAGGGGAAATTCTCTTGCAGGAGCATGGGAAAAGAGATAAGAAGACCAATGTATAAGTGAGGGATGGGGGAAATATTCTTAGCACTGAGCTATTAGCTAGTATTAAAAATCATACTCCCCATTTTTACATTTTTTGACCTATTTTCATTTTCTTTGTGTTCTTCTGGGAACAAAGATCTCTTTTTGAAGCCTTTGCTTCCTTTTATCATTTAATAATTGCTTCTATTTTTCAGCTTTCACTGAAAAGTCTCTTTTTCAGTCCTAGGAATGCACTGGCATTAAAGGTGAGAAACAGAAGCTTTACTCTGAGCTCTTCCAAAGAAAAGCACTTTAGAAATCAAAGGCATTGCTATATTGTTATTATTCCCTCCTTTCCCTCAAAGCTTGGCATGACATTAGCGCTGATCCTCAAAGAGGAGTCTTTCAGTTTAGCCATTATATTAATAATCTGTGCCTCTAAAAAAGGAAAGGATATCTAAACTGATCAACTTAGTCCAATAATCTTCTCTTTCCTTTAGTTCTGGTGCTATGGATCTGATCCAGGAACCAGAAATAGGAGCACTGTGGCTCATTTTATCTTCCACGTAAATTACATCCAGCAATGCATAAATTGTAACGGCATATAGCCAAGCTCTACCAGTTCTGTGCAAACAGAGATGCACAAGCTCAATGGGCATTGAAAGCATGAGATATTAACTCATGAATAATCCTTCTGTATTCTTACACAGTTATATAACCAGTTGTTTATTGTAATGATAATTTACATCAATATTGGAATAATAAATAGAAGATGAACATAAGATTTCAGAAATAAGTAATAAATATTCCTAAGTACAAGTTATTATCTATCAAGACAAATTGGATGGATCTTAAAATCCTCAGGAAACAATAGTAACTAGCAAAACTCCTAGATAATATTTTCCTCAATAGGTAGCTCCATGAAAGGTGTCACTCATAGAGACATATCTAAATACTGCCTGAGGGGAAAGAAGGTTTTAAATGAGAAACATAATCCATACTTGGCAGTTCATATAGTTGGAAGTCATCTATAGATGAGGAGGTTTAAAAAGAAAATATTTTAAGAGAAGGTGGATGTAATTCCAAGTTGTGATTGTTCAATGTGTTTAATAACTATACATATATAAATAATATATAATACATAAATATACAGAGAGAGACAGATGCAACATGTGTGAAAAAAGCAACTTGAGCTCTTTGTGTCTATTGATCAACTGAATTTATTTACATCCTTATAGAGCCAACCTAAATTGTAATAAAGGACATTTATTTCCAAATATTTCCATTATTTGGAAATAAAAGAGACATTAAAAGCCTACACAACAGATGACAATTTTAGGAAATAAAACAATCTAATGCTAAATAAGCACAAAGAGTTTAATAACTCTTTTTCCCAATGGTTAAGTTGGGAAAATAAGTCCCATTGGAACATGGAAATATTTGGTGAAGATATTCTGAGGATTGAAGACAACAACAGTTTTGGATACCCTAAAGCAAAACCAAATCAGAGACTTATTTTTCTTTGTGTGTTAAAGATGGCATAGATGACAGGAGTTCTGCACATGTGTCTGCTTCTTTGAAGGTCAGACTGTAGGCTCCATGTTTTGTTCACTGATACACCCCAAGATATTAGAACAATATCTGGCATACAATAATCACATATTAAGTTAAATGGTTGTTGACATTCCCAGCATGGATTTGGTAGAACAAGGTGCCCTGCACATGGTCTATAATTTTAGTTATAATTATTGATCCCAACAACAAAAATATAAAAGTAGAAAACACCCACTTATTCCTTAAAGTTTACAAAGAACTTGCAACTCATATTCCCATCCAGTCATCTGGGTTCATTGCTGCCTGGAAGCGGTGGTTTACCAGGAGCCCACAGTGGAGCCCTGCCTGGTGCTTCGTTCCATTCTCTCCTCTGCCACTTGTGGGTTGAACCGTGTGCCCCCAAAACTCAAATGCTGAAACCCTAACCCACAGGGCCTCAGATGTGACCTTACTTGGAAAGAGGGTCATTACAGATGTAATTAGATATGTTAGGATGAGGTCATATAGGATGAAGTAGGATGGGCCGCATATCCAATATGACTGGTGTCCCCTTAAGAAGGGCAAATGTGGACACAGACATGCACTCAGGGAGGACATCACATCAAGATAAAGGGAGAGATCTGGATGATGCTTATACAGACTTGGGAATGCCAAACGGTGTCTGGAAACCACCAGAAATCAGGAGAGAATGTGGAACAGAGTCTCCCTCCCAACCCTCAGAGAGAACCAACCCTGCTGACACCTTGATCTTGGACTTCTAGCCTTTGGAACTGTGAGAAGCATTTTTGTTAAACCACCCAGTTTATGGGACTTTGTTACGGCAGCCCTTAGCAAACTAACACAACTACCGACTCCTCGCAACTTGTCAGATTTCCTTTCGGAGGCACTGGTAGCCTGACCTCACTCCCACTGAGCACTGTCTTGTTCAGCTCTCAGAATTCACAAGCTCTCCTCCAATTTATTCCAAAGCTCCTGCAATTATACATTGTCAATATCCAACACATTCTTCCATTAGGTTACATAGCAATTACATCTGATACATTTCCCTTACCTTCTGCTTGCTCCTGTGCTTGGGGTGGTGCTGTAACCTGGAGGAGGTGGTGGAAACCAGGACTGTCTGTTAAGAAACGACATCAGTTATAAACATGGCACTTGAAAGACCTGATCCCACCCACATGTCTACCAGGAAAAGCTGAAAGTAATTTGACAGCTAAAAGGCATTGAGATGACTTTTCTACAAGCCTTGGAAATAAAATGAAAACTATTTCATAAACTCAACAGGAAATAGCTAAAATAACTATACTATGGTCTAGGCTCTCTGCTCCCCAAGTAAGCTCCTTTCCCCGTTTTCTTGACACTAAAATGTGGACATTTCATTAGAAAGAAATATGAAGAGAATCTGGAAAATAATATTTGTTAAATCTAGCTGGTGAGTTCATGGGTGTTTATCATCAACATACCTCTTTTTCTATTTTCTGCATACCTGAAATATTTTATAATCAAAACCAACCATATGCTCACTCTATATTTAGAGTTTTTAAAAAAGCTCCATGATAATGGGGCACCTGGGTGGCTCAGTTGTTGAACATCTGCCTTCGGCTCAGGGTCATGATCCCAGGGCCCTGGGATTAAACCCTCTGTTGGGCTCCCTGCTCCACGGGGAGCCTGCTTCTCCCTCTCCCACTCCCCCTGCTTGTGTTCCCTCTTGCTCTGTCTCTCTTTCTGTCAAATAAATAAATAATTTTTTTTAAAAAAAGCTCCATGATAAAAAGAAAACTCTGAAAGTAAGAGTATTGAAAACATAAGTGAACATCCCACTAATGCTAACCTCAATTATGTATACATACATACATATGTATATGCATATATACAAACACATATATATCCAATTAGAAAGATGTCTTCACATTACCAGGACTTAATTTTAATTGATAGAGATAGCTTAGGGGCTATGTCAGAAAGACTTAAATATGGACCAAAAACGAAGATGTTTAGAGGAGAGTGACATGTCAGAGGAAAGTCCAGGGAAGGAAAGGCGAGGATAAAAAAGCCAGGAGAGCTGGCTTTAAATTCTTGAAGCGGGTCTGTTCTCTGAGTTACCACAGGACTGAACTAAGAAGAGATGGGCATAAATCAAAGCAGATTTCAACTCAATGTAAGTAGTCAATTCTACTCACAAGAGCTAGTCCAATGTATATCACAAAAGTAGAGTCTTATTGCTGGCTTCAATGATCCTGAATTATGCCTAGCCTGTCAGAGGAAAGATTCTTGCTGTGGGCAGGAGATGTGAAATTTGGGTCCAAGAGAAAGGTAATCACATTTTCTCAGACTCACATTTTCACAGATACAACCAGAATTCCCACTGCAGGAGCGTTTTGGCAATCAGCCAGGCAATCAACAAACATTGAGCACCTACCCAACCTAGGCACGGTCCTCGGTGCAGGCAAAGAAAATAAAAACATTTTAAAAGCACTAAGATTCATGAATGCTTGTTTTCCATTTGATCATGATTCACTAGCACTGTGTTCTCTCCAACAAGCAAAAATTGCTTCGACCATCTACATTCTGTCTCATGAAGAATATTCTGCCACCATAGGTCTAGCTACTTCTCCATGCCTACTAGATAAATAGAAGTGTCAATATGGGGACTTCGACTCTGTACTTGGAAGTAGGGTCAACCCAATCTACAGAGCAGAGAAGGCCGCAAAGATGCAGGCAGATTTCAGGAGTGTGGCAATATTTGGCCACCCCACAGTCATAATTCTTTCAGGGTAAGGCATTCCCTGTAGTAGGACTCTACTAAAGATGTTACCTGAAGTAGCTTACTCTTTGCTGAGCTCCGTCATCGAAAACATTACTTAGATATTCTAGACCCCAAGGGACCTGGAGAAAAGACTGAATGTTTGTTTGTTAATTATTAAGATTTTATTTATTTATTTATTTATTTATTTATTTATTTGAGTGTGAGCTGGGGGAGGAGCAGAGGCAGAGGGAGAGAGTATCCATAAGCAGACTCTACACTGAGCGAGAGCAGAGCCCCACTTGGGGCTGGATCTCACAACCCTGAGATCATGACCTGAGCCGAAATTAAGAGTCAGACGCTTAACTGACTGTGCCACCCAGGCACCCCAAGACTGCACATTTGAAATGGAAGTGAGGAGGAAAAGGAACAAAGTTTGAGGACAGCAGAATCCAGTGGCTCTGGATCCCTGGAAAGGGAGGAGGCAACAAGATGAGAGACCAACTTCTGAATGCCACCGGGGGTCTTGGTGGATTGTTTGGTCCAGAAATTAATAAAGGACAATCCTCTACAGAATGTCAGCAAGAAACAGATGCAACCAGCCCATCATACCTCTTTTTCTTTACAGGAGTTGTAGCAGAGGTGGGAGCTGGGGTGCTGGTGGTGTTGGCACTGAACGAAACTCCAGGTTGCCTGTTTAATCACAGCCACAAATCACATTCTTGAAACTTTTTTATGCTGTCCCACCTTTGAAAGGTCTTATCATCTATTCACATTCCCACCTGCTCTTTACCCACCACAACATATTTCAGTGGACAAAAGAAGAACAGAAAACAAGTCCTTCCTTAGTTTACCATTTTATAAATCGTCAGGCCTTCATCTGAGTAACTAGAATGGAAGGAACTGAATGAAATCATTCATTATATGACATCGTGTGTCTGAAATCCGGACCAATGAATTCTGATGTGCTCTGGATTCATATTATATATTTATTCCTGTGTATATTATGACTAACAGAATTATATTGCAATTTTTTGCATTAAAAGCATTAGATTGTTTAAGAAAACATTTAAAAAATCACACCATTTTAAATCTCTATTTAGCATTTATTAATATACATAGACCTTCCCCCCGCCAAAAAAAGGACCAAGCCTGTTTCAACGACTGAGAGGTGTGGTCCAAGGTGAAAATGACTTTATTTGTAAATACAAATTTAAAAACCAATTCTGTTTTCAAAAATCCACCTAGTTTGGCTGTTTATAATCACCAGTAGTACGTTTCAGAGAAAATGTACTTCATCTAAATTGATTGCTAGCAAACCTATGATTTCATGACTCAGTTGAATTGTAATGTGATGGGGGTTTTGAAAGACAAGTGACATAGGGGAAGAAAGTTAGTGGCCGTAAGAACAAGGAAAAATAAAGGTCTCTGGGGGAAAAAAATTAAAAATCAAATGGGTGATGGGCATTAAGGAAAGTACTTGTTATGATGAGCCTGAGTGCTGTATGTAAGTGATGAATCACTAAATTCTACTCCTGAAACCAATATTATACTGTATCCTAACTAACTGGAAAATAAATAAAAATTTGGAGAAAGAAAAAATAAAAAGGAAAAAATAAGACAAAAAGTTAAAAGAAAGAAAGAAAAGAAGAAAAGAATGACTTAAGTTTAGGTGTTTGGTTAGAGCAGAGGTTGGTAAACTTTTTCTGTTAAAATCCAGATAGTAAATATTTAAAGCTTCATGGACCATTTTCTTATTTCTACTAAACCCTGCCTAAGCAACAGGAGTGGGGCTTTATTATAATGAAACTTTGGGCTGAGGGGCATATACCCTAATTTTTCTTGAACTCATACAAAGAAATACACTTTATTCTTAAAATGTAACTTCAGTCAGAAAAATACATACATCTTCGTTGCTTCTGGTGATCTAAACGTGGACATGTTTCTGGTAAAAAGAAAAAAAGGTAAAAGTTTGAGCAGCAACAAAGAATGAATACTTGCATCAATATGCAACTGTCCATGAATTTAGAGTTGTTATTTAAAGTTAGACATTATTTGAGAGAAAGAGAAAGAAAGCATCAGTATTTGAATAAATTTGATAAGGTGATTTCATGATCTTTTTGTCTTGTACTAGCTTCTAAAGGAAATCATTTTATTTCAGAAAATTCAGTTATCGTTTAAGTTCAACGTTTTTATTTGTTGAGTTCAGTAATTTTCTTTAGCAATAAGAATGTAAAATGGGCATTTACATGTATTTCATACTCTTGCCACCAGGATAACTTAAAACAAAAACATGAATGTGGTGAGAATGATGACCTGAAGCAATGAACTCTCTCAATTTTTTAAGCAAGGCAACAGGGACGCCTGGGTGGCTCAGCTGGTTAAGCAACTGCCTTGGGCTCAGATCGTGATCCCAGGGTCCTGGGATTGAGTCCCGCATCACATTGGGCTACTTGCTCAGTGGGGAGCCTGCTTCTCTCTCTACCTGCCCCTCCCCCTGCTTGTGCCCTCTCTCTCTCTGACAAATAAATAAATAAAATCTTTTAAAAAAATTAAGCAAGGCAACAAAGATTTTCTATTTCTCTAACCATGAGGAGGAATAAAGGTATTTACTCCAGAATTTTTGTGTTTAAGAAATAGAGGAAAAGAATTTACAGAAATATATCAAGTAGGACAGAAGAATTGTAAGTAAATAAGTTATGCTCAGAAAAATATTGTACTTGGGTCTTTCCCAAAGTCAATAGATACTGGTACCTATTGGTTAGTCGGTTATCCAAGGTATTGGTCTTATCTGTTTTGGCGGCATCATTTCTGTCTGAGATCCTTTGTAAAGAAACAAGACACAAGTTTGGATGAACATTTAGATCATTAAAGTCCTTTCAGACCCATGAAAGAATAACTCCACAATATAACCTTTTGTGGGAAAGAGATTTGTTTTCAGGTGTTACATTTTAGAATATTTTGCAATTAAAAAAAAAGCTACTTAAGACAAAATCTATTTATGAGGCTATAATACAGTTTGGAATTTTTACAGTTTATGCCTTTCTACTAGATGCTCTGATTCATTGAGCATTTAACCCACTATTTTATATTCATTATTGTTTAATAATACAGTTGACCCTTGAACCACATGGATTTGAACTGCACAGGTTCACTTACATGCAGATTTTTTCGATAAATACAGTACGGTACTGTAAATATATTTTCTCTTTAGGATTTTCTTAAAAACATTTTCTTTTTCCTAGCTTACTTTATTGTAAGAATTCAGTTATGTATAACATACAAAATATGTGTTAATCAACTGTTTATGTTATCGGAAGGCTTCCAATCAATAGTGGGTTATAGTAGTTAAGTACCGGGGAGTCAAAAGTTACATGTGAATTTTCGATTGCATAGCACCCATAAACCCTGTATTGTCAACTATACAACCAGTCAATGACAGTGTGCTTACCAAGTCTGTAAAAGACATCAGTGAAAGACAAGTATTTTTTAGATATTTTGTGGCACAGATATTGTTATATGTTTGCCAAACTAGTTTTCTTTTCCTTCTGAGCACACAGGAAGACCACATTTCCCATTCTTCATTGCAGGTAAGTTGGGACCATGTGATTGAATTCTAGACTAAAGAATGTGGGCAGAAATGTTGTTTGCTACTATCAGACCCATTATAAAACCTCTTGTGTGATCCTCCTTGCTCTTTCTTCCTCTTCCCACTATGGTCTTGTTGTGCATGGGTTGAAGATGGTAGCATCCAAACATGAACTTAGGTCCCTGAGTCACTTCATGGAGCTGAGACATCCCCTGTCTTCCAGCCTATCACACTGGACCCTGAAGAGAGTGAACGGTAATCTTTTATTGTGCTAAACTACAATAGATTTGGGGGCAAGAGAGGGAACTTGTTAAAAGAGTTCTCTACCCTGGTGAATTAGTTTACTTTGACTAACACATTTGGTTAATAGCCTCTACTGGCCATCAGAGGTTTTAATCCCTCAAATATCAGGTCTCCTCACGGAGGTCACATCTGGAAAAGGTGTATTTGTCCCCTGTGTCAGAAAAGACAAATCCCATGGTCTCCATGCCAATGGTGGGCTCTCATGACTGCAGACTCTCCTTCCCTCACATCAGAGAAGAAGGTTCTTCCTAAGACATGAGACTATCCCCTGGAGCATTCTGCAGGCTTGCACAACACAGGGATGTAGCAAAATTAGGCTCAGGAAAACAAAAGGTCAGAAAAACCTTTCTGTTGATCCGACACTATGGGTCTACTATAACTTTGTCTAAACTTTCAATTTTACCATCAGCTTAAGTACATGGCTTTATATAAACTATTCCTGGAAAGATGGGCACTAACTTTGCCTCACTCTAAAAAAAAAAAAAAAATTAATGTGGGAAAAACATATGACTTAACTGTCATGAGTTTAAAATGATTTCAATTCCTTGATATGTGTAACTAAAATATTGGGTAAATAACTCTAATACATTAAAAGGCTATAAGTCAACTCCAAACACGTTTTTGTTTATAGCACATAATGCCACAAACTGATAACACTTGAATGGAAAAAGGAAGGAAGGTTGAAATCTTCCAGAACTCCATATTCTCAACAAACCATTCACAATCCAGGCATTAACTTGTACAGGCTCCTAGAATCCATGTATAAAAAACTCATGTCTAAGGTGATGATCAGGCCAAGGACTGTGACTATATCACCAGCGTTAACTGCTACTGAGCCTCTGAAATGTTTATATTTAAAAGGCTCTACAGTAAACCACTGTGAGTACCTTAAGTAAGAGGTCAGGCGACCCTAAATCTTTAATCTTAAATGTTCCTTGGAAACTCTCCTCAGACTTTATAGCTGTCATGAGACCCTAACATGAGATAAAAATAATCTTGGGAAATTGCTACTCTGGTTTGCTGAAAACAACAATCTGTCTAAAGCAAACAGAACCTTAATATCAAACATTCTCAAGGTTTATATCAAGGCAAGTTCTGATGTTAAAATTAAATGAAGTTAATCAAAATTCTACAGTGTAAGCCTATGTGGGCAATACTGCATGTAATAATAAAAATAGCTACCTACTCTTTGCTGCTTATTATATACATTTTCCTCTACTCTTTAAAATATCCTTACAAGGGAGGCGTAATTATCTTCATTTTATAGATGAAACGTGGAGTCTCAGAGATGGTGAATGGAGTCTCAAGAATACTTTCTCTTGGCCATCCAGCCAAGAAGTAGGGTATCTCCAGACTCTTTCCAGTAGGGCCCAATGTCAGACATCTGATTCTGTAGAGTGATTGTTTCAACACTCACACGTTAGGTCAACAGGTCTTCCTACGCTTACTGGTTTTCACTTTCACTATCTCTTCTGTGCCACTAGGGGCATCAGTCTATGAGTAATAATGGAGAGAACTCTAACCTACCATTCCAATACATATGTCAGTTTCTTTTTACTTAGGGAGATTAACTTTGTATTTCCCTTGAAAATTAAGTTTCTGCCAACTTATGATGTGAAATAGGTTGTTTTGATAAGTGTCAGTCTTGGAGACAGGAAATACTCAAATATAGTCATTTAGCAGTATGATCAAAAGAACTAGAGGAAAAGTTACACTTCCACAAGAGAACACAAGAGGGCACCATAACCTAGGTTTTCCAAATAAGTCATTCGTCGGCCTGGAGGATTTGGGCCCTATTGCATGCTACATACATTAGTATTTACTTATGTTTCTTTAGAACACCTCACACTTTTACCTACATATATATTTTAAAAAGAGAACTCCAAATATAAAGTCAGTACTTTTCTTATATTCATTTAAAAATAAATGCATTATTATGGGGCACCTGGCTGGCTCAGCTGGTGGAGCATGTTGCTCTTGATCTCAGGGTTGTGGGTTCAAGGCCCACGTTGGGTGTAGAGATAACTTAAAAATAAAATCTTTAAAAAAATAAAAATAAAAAATAAAATAAATGCATTATTGAAATACATACATACGTGCATACCAGATATATTTGGTCATCTTCCTCCTAAAATTATTTCCTATCTCACATTTGGAGTGACCAGCATTATGAAAAGTCTGACTCCTGATAGGACTTGCCTTTCTTTACCGATTTCTGAGTTCTCTCCCTCACATCTATTTTCACACTTAGAGAGATGTGGCATACTGCTGGGACTCAGGACTGCCTCGGGAATGAGCTGACCAAACATGCCACTAAACCTCTGTGTAAACAAAGCAGGTCACCTCTGGCCTCATTTTCTAGGATACAAAATGAAGAAGGATTTGGGCTAGATTGGTGGTTCTAAACTTTGGATGCATACTAGAATCACTTCATAAGCTTCAAGAATGTCCCAGTCCCACCTCAGACTAATTAAATCAGAATTTTGAGGGTGAGAGGTGGTGGGACCAAGTTATCGGTAAAGTTTAAAAGCTCTCTTAGTGATTCTAATTTGCAGCCGAGGCTGAGAATGACTCATCTTGTTAGCCTGTGAAGTCTGGTCTAGTTCATTACTAATGTTCCAAGGCTCTGTCATGACTGGCCCAACATAGACCTTCAGATCCACAGCCTACAAAGGCTTAGGTCTCCCACACATTTACCTTTCTTGAGGCATAATTATCTCACTTTCAGATTCGTTCCTAGAAATAGGGTTTCCATCTTCAGTTAACGGTGCAACAGGACAGCCCACAAGGCCAACATGAATGGACTTATTTTGACTCCTCCCTCCACTCAGTGCTGTGGAGATGAGATCCTGTACATATACTTCTACAAACTCATTTTTTGTGAGGCTATTAATTACAAGAGAGAAGTTAACTCCTTAGGCATACCAGTGAGGATTAGCCTCTATTAAGGGAGACTGGCTTGAAAACCTATGAATAGTACAGAAGTGTGTACATTTCCTACATGAATTAATACTGGCAAATACTGAATATAGAATCCACTAGATACCATAAATTCCAGCATGTCTACTTAAAAGGCAGCAGGTGGCATTTTTGTCTACAATAGCAGCATATCTTTAGCTACAGGGAGTGACCTCAACTGTCAGTGGCCTCAGGTGTCCATTGTCTAGACTCCAACTAAAAATGTTAACTTTGCACTTTATATATGCTTACTAAGTACCTCTACCAAATATAAGATAAAAATGTGATTTGTAGCATTTACACTTCAATCCAAATAGACCTTTCTCGGGGTGCCTGAGTGGCTCAGTCAGTTAAGCATCTGACTCTTGATTTCAGCTCAGGTCTTGATCTCAGTGTTGTGAGTTCAAGCCCCGCATTGGGCTCCATGCTGGGTATGGAGCCTACTTTAAAAAATAAATAGACATTTCTCAATTTTCTCCATAAAGAGGAGCCCTTTTCCTCTGTGTAGGAAGGAACTAACAACAGGCACAGCCCCATGGACCCATTCTATAGGCCATATGGTTACTCTAGTGCCACCCACAAGAGTAATTTCACTTTCTAAAGTAAAGAGCCTTTATACTACAGTGGATCAAAACTATGTTATTAGTAAAACTTATAGTTTCTCTATAAAAATAGAAACTGCTGTTTTTCCCACCAATGGGATGGAAAGCCCAAAAGTTAGAATAAGAACTGACTACTCATTCACAAAAATAACTAGATTCTCCATTTTAAACTGAACAGATTCCCTGTAGTGTCCACCCTACTTATACTCAAACCAGTTTCTTCAAAATTGTTCTTATCAATCTACTACTGGCGGGATTTTGGGAAAATAGCATGTTGAGTCAAGATTTTGTGAATTTTGAAGATGATTCCATCTGAATAGCCCTTCTGTCCCTGGGGATAAAATATCATGGTTCAAAACTTACTTTGGCAAACATTTAAATACCTCATGGTTGATTAAAAAAATGGGATTTCATATACATTTTGCATCCTGCTTACATGGTTCAAAAACACCTTACCTGTCTAAAGAGTCATCAGATCTGTACCGACTAATCATAGCTTTTGGCTCATCTCTCTCATTTGCTTTCCTGTAGCAAAAAATAATTACAGAAAGATCAAATAAATTACCAAAAAAAGTTTATAAAATCTATCATGTCTTTAGTAAAATTTTGGCCTATTTAGGTAGGAGTTGTACATGTTACCAAGGAAAGACAGATTCAGAGTATCTAAATCTTCCAAGGTTTTGACTTGGATAGAATAAATTATGGCTAACCCAACTCCCCCTGCTAATAAAGGAATTCTTCTCTAGGTCCAATTATTTCTAACTACAATGTAACATATTCAAATTGGGGATAAAGGATAGGCAAAACAAACAACATGGCATGCAAAGTGGTTAACAATTAATGTGTACTCTTATCAATACTGTTGACTTCTACATCATAGGAACTTAATCCCTTAAAATCAGATATGTTTTGTTTGCAGAACTTTAGTAGCACCGTAAACTAGCTCAACAATGGATACAAAGAGCTTTATTTAAAGTTCAGCACCGTGGACAGGGTTGAAAAAAAGAACTTGCTGAACTGAAGGGAGGGGGAAGAAAGGAAAAGAAGGAAACAGGAAAAGCTAGAAAGAAAGAAATGAAGAAAAGAGAGTGAGAGAAGAGAGAAAGGAGAGCTGTGGGGAAGAGAGGAGAAGAAAGGGGAGGTAAGGAGAAGTAGGGAGAAAAGAGACAGAAGGCAAAGAAAGTTGAGGAAGATAGGCGAGCAGAACAAAGGGGAGAGGGAAGAAGACAAGAAAAGAAGGGAAGAAAGGATAGGAGGTTCAATAGTAGGAATCAAGATCATCAAAGCAAATGGGAATTTCTTGATCAGACTGATCAATCAGCAAAAACAGGCTGTTTAATGCCTTATATAACCCTGTGATACAGGAAAAGCAAGCTCTTTGTTGAATTATACCATGATTTACTGTGTTTGCATTTCAAAGCGTCATTTGAAGCTGACAGATCAAAGATACTGAATCTGAAAAAGCACTAAAACAGTATGTGCACTTAAAATTTAATTTTTAACTTGATATAGTATACTTTTATTAAGCAAATATTTGAAGGTAAACAATAAATAATTTACTGTGCTGATGACTATGAGGAAGTCAAGAATAAAAAACTATGGAATCTACTCACACAGAGCTAGAGAGACAAATTAGATATGTACACCCAAAGGGCAAATAGTGGCCACTGTCATAAAAGAGGTTCAGGGAAAGGGAAGGAAGTTCTAAGGTGAGAAAGTTTATTTCTAGGTAAAAGAATCAAAAAGGGCTTCATGGATAAGGCACAGTTTGAGCTGGGCCTTGGAAGATAAATAGCTGTGAACATTTTCAAACGGAAGCAGAGGGAACAGTGTCCGTTGATGGGAGAAAAAAGTAATGAAAATTGCCTAATGCAATTCCCTCAGTTTTAAAGGAACCTCAGAGTGAAATCATGGTCTAGCCCAGCATTGTATTGAATGCATGAATGCAAACAGACACTGAAGGGCCATCTGACTCCCTTCGGTAAAACAGCCCCTTTTCAGACAGCATCACTTTATGTCTCATTAGTTGGCTTTATTCTTCCTAGCACTTATGGCAACATAACATATTATATTGTGTTTATTTATTTTCAGTCTCTCCCCTCCTCCACCTTCAACTAGGAGGCAGGTTCTATGGAAGCAGGGACTTTGTTTTATTCGCAGTCCTCAGGCCAGTGTCTGGTTCACAGTAGGCATCTCTACAAGTATTGCTGCCAGGCTTATTCGACGGGTTTAAATGATCTGGCAGAAGTACATAGCGAAAGTTCTTAGTTCATGCCTACTATGAAGCTGTTATCTAGGTGAGGAGACTATATTGTTTACCTTCCCTTTCCTGTAGCCTTTTCAGTCTCTGCTCACATGGAGCTTTTTGCACACATAGCCACTTGTGCTGGAAGCACTTCTCTCCTGCTTCCTGCCCGCCAGCTGCCCTTCCCAACTCAGAAACCCGTCCTCATCCTTCGAACAGCAGCACCAACATGGAAGACCACTTTCTGGGTGCCATCTCTGGTTAATTCAGGCAGAGTTAGGCTCTCTCGTCTCTACTCCCAAGGCGCTCTCACACACTTCTACAATAGCACCTCCGTGGTAAATTTTAGTCTTGTAGTCTATGGATCCATGTTTTTCCAGCATGTAAAGGCTCCCTAAGGTCAAGGGTGGTATCTTATGCATCTTCGTATTCCCAGCACCTAGCACTATGGCAGCACATAGCAGATGTTCCAAAATGGTGTTAAGTGTCCACCAAGTGGGTACAGCCTCTGTGAAAGGGCAGAAAATGGCAAAGTAGGCATCCATCTGAGCAAGTGCAAGGAGGAAAATCATCTGCACTACCCTTCTAGGAACATGTATTTTGAGACGCTAGTTATGGGTTAAGGGGAAAACATCTCGGGCTCACACAATTTTGTTACTGAAGATAAAAGTTCAATGTACTGTTCCAGCCAGTATACGGAGGGGAGTTAGCCAGTAAAATGGAGGGAGCAATTTCCATGTGTGGCTAGACTAAAATGATCAGACTCCTTTTGGGGGTGAGAGCCACCTGAGAACAAGGCTGTAATCTTCAAAATCATGACGACCAAGGAGAGGGCAAAGGTAATCACAGAACAATCAGTCAGATGAACTAAGGCTGCGAACCAGAAAACCAAACAGATACTTTGTGTAGAGAGTTCTAAGCTCAGTACCTTTATAACAGGTCAAAATTATGAACAGGTTTAGAAGGGTTTAGAAAAATTAATAAATAAAAGTTTCTAAAATATTCAAGGTGTCTACTTTTTAAAGTCCATGCCATAAAAGATAATCACACTCCTTTACTATATACATCTTGGTGACAGACAGACACAGGCTACTAGACCAGATAAAACTTGTGTCTGATAAATACTTAGGTTCTTCTGATGGGTGTGGTTGTTTGTATGTGTGTGAACATAAATGTGTTTTAACAAGAGTATTATCTACTTGTTTGATCAATCTTAGATTATTTACATTATTGTGATTATGAGTTTTGTCTGAATTTTTCTACTAATTTGCCTCAGTCTTTTTGCCACTCAATATCATTTAACGGTTTTTCACAAACCTAGGAGTTTCTAAAAAGAAGTGTACTGCCCATAAAGCAAGTGAACTCTGCTGTTATTTCTATATTTTAGGGTTACTTTTCCTGAGGTTCTGAGATATCTTATCTGGTCACATTTCTGCGGCAGCCCTTTCTTTTTCCCATCCAGAGGGCTACCTCCATGGATTGGTTATTCTATACCTCCAAGCTGTGGTTCTAGAAGCATGAAGCTGGAGAAGCACAGACTTTGCTCTGTGGAAACTCCTAATGATATCACAGAGTCTTCCAGAATGCCAGGGAAAGCCTGAGGCTAGCCACAAATATTCAGCCTGTCTTGAACAAGTCTTCTCTCAAAACTATTGTCTTTGTGTTTCTGCTAATGATGTAACTTGTCTGAAACACCCACCTGTCCAAGGCATCATGGGAGTTATGTCGGTTGAGCACCACCCTACCATAATTTTCATCTCTGTAAAGAAAGAACAAAACTAAGTTACATGGAAAGTTACCACAGTATTTGGTAAGCACTAAATAAGGGAGACAGGAAAGAGCTCACAATTTAGAGCAAGATTAATTCATCTTATTGCAGGCGTAAGAACACAACAATACATTTATTTTTACCAGTCTCCCCTTGAAAGAGCATGGTGAAAAGAAACAAGTTTGTCAGTACAAATGATCATTATTCTCATATACCCCATGAGATTTCCATATGATTCAACAATGGAATGAGTATTATTTATTTTTTTTCTATCAGAGTGTGGGAACATGTATGTGGACATCTACTTTGTGTACATTGTAAGAGTCCTCTTCTGCAGGAAGGCAAAAGCTTTCACAAACATGTCTTAAATATAACTAAGTCTTTTATATGTAGACATTTTCATCTGATGGACTTGATAGTTTTCCTTGACAAAAAGCAGGAAAATAAGTACCAAAATTTATGGTTAAGAAGGTGGATCATTCACAGGATATTTGGCCCATTTTTGAACCATGAGAACTGTTTGGTCCTTAAAATAATCCTATGACTTAGGCAAAGAAGACCTTGTCATACCCAATTCACAGAAGAAGAAATTGATCAGAGATTTTGAAATTGATCAGAGAAAAAATCAGAGACTTCCTAAGACCAAAAGGTTAGTAAGTGACAGGCATGGATCTAGGACCCAGATCTTTTTATTTCAAACTTTTGCTTTTCCTCCTAGTTAACCCTTCATACATAACCCTTCCTACATACATAGACCTTCATACATAAAATTCCAAACAGTGTCTTTCTTACTTTGCACAGCAGACCCGAAAGTACAGGCAACTAGGAAATGTCAAAACATGTAGTAGAGCTTTTGGCCTTGAACCAAGTACCCGAACCTTTTTCATGTCAACCCAGCCAAACCTGAAATACCACATTGCTCCTGTTACGCAACACTCTGGAACTATTTACAATAAAGCTATATAAGAAACGGAGGTAGATAATTAAAAAGAAAGATGAACAGTGAAACTGAAACAATTCCAGCAAATATACACCCTCAAAAAACCCAAGAGAACTTTTCCATCTCTCTTGGTATCCAGTTCCCTAAACTTGTGAGAGAGTAGCAGACACCAGATGCATTCTGACCTGAAGAAGAATCATAACACACAGTCCAGACCTGGGCCAGTAGGAGTGGGGGAAACATTGGAGCCCGTTTTGCCTTCATTCAGCAGCTGCCATGCCATCCAAACTGGCTTCCCTGGGCCTTTATAAAGGAGGCGTGCCTGACATAAAACCATCATTCCTACCAATTATAATTTGTCTTAGACATCTCTATCCTCACCCATCTGTGCAAATATTTGCAACACAGAATTTATGATTCACATTTGACATCACTCAACCACTATAGAAAAATAGAAGTGCCATATTAGGGCTCTGAGAGAAGTAGTAAATGTGTGTTACTAAAGGAAATGATGATTGTCCAAGAATGTTAACTCCAAAAGTCAATGTGAGTCTCTAAATACCTCTATATTCCCTTAAAATAATAAGATTTAATAACAGAAATTAATAGACATCTTCATTTAACAGTTATAAATATGTTCCTCAAATAACTATATATGGGCACTTTAGTAGTAAGTATCCTGCTTAGTTGAGAGTAAGTATCCTGTAATGTAGAGCTTTTCAACTTAGCGCCATGACACTATGGGCTTGATAATTTTGTATCGTGGGGAGTGCCCTGTGCATTGTAGGATGTTTAGCAGCATCCATGGCTTCTACCCACTAGATGTCAGGAGTACTCCCTAATTTTGATAACTGGGCATGTCTCCAGATCTTACCAAACATCTCGTGGGGATAAAACTGCCCCTGAATGAGAACCGTTGGTGTAATAGACAATAGGTCATGTTAAAATCTCAACTCCATCACTTAATAGCTGTGTGGATTGGACAAGTTACTTAACTTTTCTGAACCTCAGATCTCTCTTCTATAAAATAGAGGATGTAATACCTACCTTGTGTGATTTGTGAGATTTAAAGATGCCTTATATGTAAAGTATGTACCTGTACACAAGAGGGAATCAAAAAACATATGCATATGTATATATGTAATGTATCATAAATATATCTGGGCTAGACAAATGTCTATTATAAATCTATATTGGCCATGAGGCAATATGCCTACAGGTGTAGTTTTCAGATCTATAACATAGAGCTAGTAGAAGCAATGCTCAAAACAGACAAAACGTTCTTGAGGGTAAATGTTTTCCTTTGCAAAGTAATACCACATTTAGCACCCACCTGATAGAGATATATACCACTGTGACTAAAATGAGGTGAGGATATATTGATTTCACTTGCACATATAGAAATTTTAGATAAATTATTATTAAATTTGTAAATTAGGAATCATACTATTATTTGTTTGTTTCAACTGACATGATGAACATGCATGAGGAGTCTCCCTACTGTGGATTAAATATTACCTTTTGGGAAACTGCTAAGTCGTGTTCTTTTCAGTTTATCAAAAAGACACAAACGTCCATTCTAGTTGTAACAATGAAACTCTGCTTTTTCTCCCTAATGACTCACATGCTCTTCATTACGTGGATAATAAAAATGGTAGAAATATTCTTGAAAATCTTAAAACCAATGTATGCCTACTAAATCTTACCAAACACTAGGCCATGAAACAAAATGTTTTAAGGAAAGCACCTGCCTTCTAGATGGCCACTAGCTCCCCAGCTAGAGAATAGCTCTCTCTATTCATCCACCCACCCACCCTCTCCACACCCTCTTACTTTTCTTCTTCGGGACGTTTCTTTATCCAGCTGTTGTCTTGTAAGAAAGTCCTTCTTTTGTTAACCTCATGAAAACCCTGTTGCCTCAGTGTGGTCCCCTGAGTGGTACTCTTCATATCTATCAACAGAAAAAAAAAAAAAAAACTGGGAGATGCAATCTCATGGGGTCAAGTGTGAGTTGTTAACCTGGGTGTCTTGAGAGGCACATCTGATTGGCCAGCATCCATCTTGTAGGCTGAGAAGTTCAGCACGGTTTCAAAATAGGATGCGCTGGTAAGAGAGAACAAATCCCACACCCCAGCACCAGAGATAACATATGAAACTGCTCCGGTGCCAAGTGAAACTGCCGGGACAGCTCACGAGGTCCTGTGTGGCACTGGGAACACAGAGCCACGGGCATGGGATAAACCAAGCCATGGTTTGGTGGTTGGCCATTTTATTAAAATATATATATATATGCTTCAGAAGTACATACAAGAGAAAAAAAAAGAAGTTCACACAAGACTGCTTTGCAAGTACCTAATAAATGATAGTCAAGAAGTTCTGGTGCTTTTGATTATAAGTAACTGAATTCTTTAATCTCAGGGGAGTCAGAAGCACAGAATGTCCCACACACAAAAGAACACTTTTATTGATTTTTTAAAAAATCTTTGCATTGCAATTACATGAATAAAAGCTATCGCACTTCTACTTTTTCCTTAAGCCTAATGTTGGCAGTTGCTTCTAAGCATTCCATATCTATATAAAAGAATTAAGAGCTATGAGTTGTTTTTCTCAGATTTTTAAATTTTCTGAGTAATGAAACTATTATCTACATTACCATTTCCTGTGGGAGACATTTTTCGCGAGGTAAAATTGGACATCCTGCCTTCCAGTAAGGATCTAAAAGAAAAATAAGGAGGGGAAAAAACACAACAATGACTCTAAGAATTTACAAGTGATTATTTCATTGGTAATGACATTTTTCTTTTTTTTTTAATTTTACTTTATTATGTGATGTTAGTCACCATACAGTACATCATTAGTTTTTGATGTAGTGATCCACGATTCATTGTTTTCGTATAACACCCATGCTCCACGCGCAGTAAGGAGTGCCCTCCTTAATACCCATCACCAGGCTAACCCATCCCCCCACCCCCCTCCCCCCTAAAACCCTCAGTTTGTTTCTCAGAGTCCATAGTCTCTCATGGTTCGTCTCCCCCTCCGATCTCCCCCCCTTCATTTTTCCCTTCCTTCTCCTAATGTCCTCCATGCTGTTCCTTATGTTCCACAAATAAGTGGAACATAAG